ACTGCGATTTCCTCATCCAAAATATGTTCCAATGGTGTGCAAGGAAAATGTGCGAAAACAATTGTTATTAACTTGCACTTGCACAATATGTTAGGAAAAAAGCGCAACTTCCAATTAGATGTCGGAAGTCAATGGCCACATTATGCATAATTCGTGCATTAGTGCGACAGTGTAGATTGTACAAATGTCAATAACAAACATCTATGCTCATGGATGGCTGAGTTGAATCTATATTTTTGAAATGTTGTACTTTAGATTAGAATTTGCAATATGCTATTGACAAAGCACACAGCTCAAGTCATCCAAAACTTTAGAGGGGTTGGCCCCACCCAAATGCCATAAAGAGTCGCATTAGAAATGCCTGCAAAAGGCAAATTGTAAATTTATGCGAGGCGGCGAAAACTAATGGCATGTGGCTAATAATGTGGCACTGGGACTTGGCTTGGCTAGCATGCACTTACTTATGTTTGTGTGCTGTTAGTATTACAACTTAACAGAAGATTAATTACACGAGCTCTGGCCATAAATAAGGCAAACATGGCACGGCACACAACTGTCCGCGAGTCGAGAGTCAAGAGTCGTAGCATTATTTGCAAATGCATGCTAGTAAAAATTCAAATTAGAAATCATTGCGGCCGTCGGGCTGCCAACGTAAACCATTCAATTTAATCAAATGTGCCAGCAGCAGCAGCAGCAGCAGCAGCAGCTCCTCAACATATAAACACACATACATACATAATGACCGTGTTAGCTTCCGTGCCCTTGAATTGCAGAAGACGACGGCTTCAGTGCTAGTCGAAGAAGCAGCAACAGCAGCAGCAACATCTAAACAATAAAGTCATAAACAATGTGCAGCCGAAAGGTCCCAAGAGGCCAATGGGCGCCCCTCCAACTCGCTTGCGAATATAGCGACAACAACAATCAACAATCAGATGGCTACCCAAGGTCAGAGAGCTTTGGATTCTTCTTGTCTTGTCTGCGAGAGCTATGTGCACCCAGCTAAGCTCTTTTGTGCGGCTAATTAAGTTAATTAAAAATTGAAGGCACGCGATTTGCTTGAAATCAACAATTTGATAATATTCCAAATGTTGTTTGTTTTTCGGCAAAATCTTAATTTTGTTTTGCTGCCGCTAATGATGATGGCTTCAGCTCCTAGTCTGATTAGAAAATGTTGAGTCATTGCAGTCATAAAATTTATTATGCTGCCTTTCCAATTTGAATACCCTGTACAATTGCAGCATTGTGTATACGGGCTTAATCGAAATTCTTAAAAAACTCTAACACGACATCTAACCATATAATATTTGGATTTTATAATCATATCAATATGTGTTGATATTTACCCTTATGAATATGCAATGACATCTTATATTTCAATCTATCCATAATTGTGTACATTTTCCTTTTACCCACATCATGGAAACCCACTCTTAGCATGCACCCCCTCTTATACATCATATAAGATAATATAATCACAATAATAATAATAATAATAATGAAAATAATAAATATAAATATAATAATAATAATAATAATAATAATAATAATAATAATAATAATAATAATAATAATAATAATAATAATAGTAAGAATAATAATAATAATGGAAAGGGTGCTTAACATTGGAGGGTCCTTAAGTGACCCAAGGTCATGAAACAGAACACTATTCTTGCTGAAGCTCTGAAGCTCTGAGTTAGGGACTTTTTTCACAAATGATTACTCCAATCCGTCATTCAGTATTCACCCTGCAAGTTGAAACAAACAGTTTTATATATATAAAATATATATGTATGTATAGATAAGTATAGGGTAAATGACATTCAAATACTCTTCAGTGGGGTACTGTGACGCGTCAAACTTATCTTCGTTTCGTGCTTAAACGATTTTGATTAGCGATATTTTTTTTGACGCGCCTCCCTCCGGATTTGTGCAATTTGCTTGACCTTAGCGCGCTGAATATGTGAGCTGTTTGCCAACCATTGAAAACAGTTTCGAAAGTTTCAATTTTGCTGCAACGTCGTCCCACGCGATCCCAGCCTGATATGCACGCTCTACGAAATGTAAGGTGAGTGCAAAAACCGAGTGAGAGACAGAAAAACACTCGCAATTTAAATATTTGTAACATTATGTATCAGACAGGAAAAGGAAATGATTGCAAACGCTTAAGTGTAATGTTATTTATCTTTTCCCAAGGTTTTCACAACATTTTTCAACATTTAAATTTAATTCGATGAAAATTTAAGATAGCTCAAAGATAACTTAAAAAGAAGCAAATTATAGGGAATCCATAAAATGTGAATATTAATTCAGAATATTATAACATCTTTGCAACTGCAACTGTCAATATGTTTCTCCTTAATAGTCCGTCAGATACATATTTATGTATATTTATGCAGAAACATAAAAAATATACCCGTTGCCTAAAGGGTATTATTATGATCATTACAAAAGTAAAAGTAAAGATACGTATCAAAAGCGCAACGTAAATAGAATTGAAATAACAAAGACTAATTACGAAGCGTCTTGGTTGTTTTATTTAAAATCTCATGAATTTGCTTTATTAACGAATCAATTCACTCAAAGAGACAGAAACGCATTTGCATGTGAAGATACTTGGCCAATAAATCTAATGGCCAGTACACTGTCAGCAATGTATATGGATAGATATATATATTATAAATATATATATATATATATATATATATTTTGCGAAAGTGCCCTGACCAGGCCTGACAACACCCGGCCCGGTTCGGCTCGGCTCGGGCCGAGCTGACCAGTCGGCAACTGAACTTCCAAATGTGGTAGCTTTACGTCTTAATTTTGAATGTTAATTGCTGCTGGGGCAGTTAGTTGGTCATCGCTGGCTTGAACTTCAATGTCAGTTTAGAAATTCAAAACTAATTTGTGGCGATTCAAATTATACACGCGCATGGGAGAAGGCACGCACTGGGATAGTTTGTTTTACTGGCAGATAATAAGAGGTGCTCACGCAATGAAAACCAGTTGGTTGTTCGTCTCCCCAACCACACGTTGATTACGAAAACATTTCATCAAGGAAGCATCGCATTATGATCTCTTCAATAAAGCTTAAAGAGAAAGAAGAAAAGTAAGAAAGATGTTTTATGAAGACTTTCTACAATTTGTATGAAACATTTGTCCATTCCCTTGTCCCGGGGTGTTGAGGCTTTCCAACTTGCATTGAAATAGATTAAACAAGGCAAATTTAAAGCTTAGGCACGCAATATAACTACATGGAATATACATAAATATATTGAAATGCATTCCTAATTGCAATTATAGCCATGTCAATCGATGAGTTTTTTATTGTATCAATTACCTAATTTCATTGCAGATTCATCATTTTGTAAGACAACATTTGGTCATATCCACCATGAATCTAAAAGATACAGAAACTTTATCGCGACTTTGATGATTTATTTAAATGCGCAAAATTTCTTGAAATTAAATGCACAAAAAATGACAATGCATAAAGACTGGAATGCCATTTTAAAGAGACCATGTCCTACGTGATAACCTGATAAAGTACCCTATACTAATATTTGTTAATTGATAAATCAAGAACAAAGGATTGTAACGTGGCTCCAAGTATTTCCTGCACATAGATGAGTTGCCTTTTTGAGTTAGGACTGGCTAGAGATTTATGTGATATTCAAGATGGAACTGATTGCAACTATAACTTTCATGTTAATTGAATTATGCAAGCGACTTAGCCAACGAGTTACAACCCAAAAATTATAGCTTCAACAGCAAGCTGACCTTTCGCGAACCCTTGCACGAGAAAGTTGTGCAAAGCAGCCGCTGGGCATCCGACAACCACGAGGCGACCACCTCCAGTGAACTTGGAGACGGCAACTCACGAGTTGCCAGTGCTGCTGTCTTTCTCCTCGTATATCATCTGAAATTGATAGAGGCGCATTATCTAATATCTAATCCAGTAAGTGAACAATAAGCGCAGCGGCAAGAAATCCCAAATTGTATCAAATTTAATTGTATATTGTTAGGTTATTCGATTTTGGATTTTGCATATGTGTACCCGTAACCCGTATGTCTGTATGAGCCAATGACACGAAGTTTCTAGGAGAGTTGAGCAATAAATATATAGGTATTGTTATTGTTGCCGCAACATAAAAACTATGTTAAAATTGCGTGTAAAGCGAAACAAGTTCATAGCGCAAATTATTATTCGAATATGCACATAAAAATTGGCAATAAAATAAACAAAATGCAAAATTCACAAACGTCACAAACGAATATGTGCAAAATTGAGCATGACCCAAAGGTACCGGCCAAGCGCTGTTTGATGTTTTTAGAGGCGGCTTCGACTCTGATAATTATTGGCGACGCTGATGAGACAGAGACCACAATGGCAACAATAACAATAGCAACGACACCGACAGCCACAGCGACAACATCATCGCCAACAACTGCTGCTGCTTCTGTTGCTGCTGCTTCTGCTGCTGCTGGTACCAAAGCAATAACAACTAAGCACTTGTAAGCAAAAATAGCAAAAGTTCCTGACTAGGGGATACCCTGAACCCAGCGCCAAACTGCCTACCAAATAACATAACAAACAAAAGTGAAAGCATAAATTTGATGGGCCAAAATATAGCCATCAAATGGGTACATATACCAAAAGAAATATTCGAAAAAGAAAAAAAAATAAATTAAACGAGAGAATTTAATTTAAATTTAAGTTTTTGTTAATTTGCAGAGACGAAACAACATGACTAGATCGACTCACCTTGTCGTCCTGATCATGAATATATATATATACTTATATTTACTTTATGGATTTGCCCCCTTGTCCTGTAGCATACATTTCCAAAAAAAACAATATACCCCTTTTACTCATTTCCAATGGGTCAGAGTATAACAACAACAAAAACCAGCCCGCTGCTGTTGACGTCGACAGCAACTTCGACGGCGCGACGTCCCAAAGTGTTCAACTCTTCACTAGCAGAGCGCAGACGCAACGTCGTTCAGTGCGGTTTTGGAGTTCGTAGCGTCTGGTCGTAATCGTGAAGCAGTCTAAAAAAGCACCACTAACAGCAACTCGCCCATAGGCTTGCGTGTGTTTGTGTTTGTGTCGGTGTATGTGTGCCCAACTGTAGCAGTGTGTCTTACTGTGTGCAAGTGCCAGGATCTACGTTAACACAACAAATAAAAATAAAAAAAAAAAAAACGAAACACAAAATCCTAGCAAAACGTCCACTTTTTACACATCGGTCTCCAGCTCCATTGGGAGTTCTAGTTGGCAGCCATGTCAGTAAAGACAGTTAAGGATAAACCGTGGCTGGTGCTTGTTGGCCTATTGGCCGCATTGAGTTGTAAGTAGATTAAGTGTGATTTATGAGTGACAAACGCGTATTGTGATGCAAATGGGGGCTAGCCAAAAAATAAAACTAGATTAGTGCCATGTACACACGTATGCATGTGTGTGTACATATGCCGTATGCATATATGTATGTATCTTTTACTGGCCAGAGGGCGGCCAGACAATGCTACGAATGACACGGCGCAAATATATCATCTTTTGTGTGTGAATGCAAAGTAAGCCAAATGAATATTCAACAGCTGCTAGTCGGTATCTGCCCACGTTTTATGATTGGTGCTAACCGTTGAACTGGCCAGCAATTGACTCGTTGGCAGACTGACCAACTGACTGACTGATTGACTGTCGGACTGACTAACTGCATTAGCATTAACTGACGGCTTAGCATAAATTTATGTGCATGCGTTTCCTTGATACAATTCGGAGACCTCCGATCAGGCGATAGCCTCAATGAAAATACTGTAGTTTATTATTTTTTTTTTTTTTTCAAAGTCGTCGTCGGCTTTTTCCTCTTCTTTTGGATTTTTGTATGCAACGTGAAAGTAGGTCTCTAGGTTGAAGATTGCTTGTTGGGTTTCGCGAATACGACTATGCATGTATCTATGTATATGAACTAGCATCACTATATGTATATCTATTGATTGGCCAAATGCCGCTGGCCGGGCTGCAAATGATTGGCAATTGCCGCAACCAGTTCCAGTTGGGCTTTGATTTGAGCTTGGGGTTGTTTGCTTAACCGCTTGATCACCTGGCACTCTATAGGCTACCATTGCTTGCCTGCCTAATGGCTCCGTCTAACTCTGGCCTAAGCATCATTAATAAGATTTTGCTGTTGTTTTTATTTAACTATTAATTACACCTTTGACATTTTGCATGTGCTCGTAGTTCAAGTCGGCTCGAAGGCTGGGCTTGTTTCATAAGCAATGTATCTAGTCGTGGGCATTGCAACTGAGAGTTAAAGGCCCAAGTCTTATGAGAATTAAATTGGCAGATAAACTGGACCATTATTATTATTAAGATTCGTAGAAGCAGACACTTTCATTCAATTAAGTGCGAATAGTGTGCCGAAACAGTAGCCGAGATTCTTGTTTTAAGACAGGAAAGACTTGTCGGCGACTTGCAAAATTTGGAGCAGCAACTGCCATGGCCACGAATCGATCGTGGGCACCACAAATACAACAACAACAAAATGTTTACCGAAACCCCATAACCAAATCGAGTCGCGTTTAAAACTGCAGGCCATGGAGGCCGCCCAAAGTAGTTGGCCTGATAGTGGCAACAAGACCCAAACGTGTTTATAGCCCCTGCAAGCAATAATAATAATAAAAAAATAAAAAACTTTATTGAATTTTAGCAACAACAACAGCAACTGCTATCGCTTTGTTGTCCAAAATGGTCAAATTGCTCAAATAGCCTCCGAAGGTAAAATTGGAAGTGATATTCGGGCACTCGCGCATACAATTTGCGAATAAGCTGCAAAAGATTCACATTACTTATAAATAGAATCAGCCCAAAAATTGAACCAAAATAGGAGACGCAATTCTTTTTGGCCTTTGTTATTGTTTTTGTTTTTTTCCACTTAGCACACCGGCCATTAATATCTGTCTGGTTGAAACTCTTTGAAATTGCCGTGAATGCATAATTCAGTTGTTCTGTTTTGTTTAAACAAATAACAGATATAAAAGATCTGTGTTACACGCATCACAAACTCTGCTTAGCCCAAACTCCATTGTTAGTGTGGAACTTTATTTGGCATGAAGCGAAAACTTCCTGTACCCTATCAAGTTTATGACTAACATCATTAGAGCAGCATATACTATATAGTAATCATCATAAAAGCCAACGCAGGCAGCCATAAGAAGCCATCAGAATCGAAAACAAACAAAAGTCTGATGTGATGTGGTTTGATCTGTTCTGTTCTCCTCTTCTCTGTTCTGTTCTGTTCTGTTCTGGCCTGGTCAACATTAATTTGCCATCCATGAATATGATGTGCTTATTGCTGTTGTAGAACTCAAAATTGCTGTTAATATGTAAATTTGATGCGAATAATTAAGTGGCTGCTAAGTGTTGCCAGAGAATTGTCTATTTATTACTTTATTATTTTTTCGCTTTAGTTAGCTCGCGTGAGTCGAGAGCTGAAGCCGACTCAAGTTCGTTGCCTAAGTCTTTTGTTTTTTGTTTGCCTAACATTCGCGGATTTGCTTTTGTTTTTGTTTTCTCGTTAAAAAAAATATAAAATAAAAACAGCACTGCAGCATTGCTGTGATGCCGCCTACCCATATTACGGAACAAAGATTGGCTCTCTGACACGACTGCATCATGGCGTTTCCGGCGACGTGTATGCCGTAGACTCCCGTACCATATTCATCAAGAAGTTCAACTATGATGGCGAAGCGCCCGCCGCTTATTTTTATGTAGGCAACACCGCGCGACCAAGCAACGAGGGTGCCGCTCGCCTAAGAGACGAGCGAGGAGGTACCGCTGCACTGACGCGTCGCTATCGCAACAAGGACATTACCCTGTCATTGCCGGAAGGCAAGACGCTCCGAGACGTCAAATGGTTTTCGGTGTGGTGCGATGAGTTTGCTGTCAACTTCGGCGATGTCGCAATACCGAGCACTTTGGATTTTCCACGTCCGCAAAAGATCAGCGCGCTGAGAGGTGTACACGGAGTGTCCTCCGATAATATTGTCATTGTGGATGCACAGACGCTCTTGGTACCCAACTTTAGCTACGACGGGGAGGCGCCAGGTGAGTAATGGCAGCAATAATGGCTTAATAAAGGGCATTGCATCGATGGAACCTGATTTCACTTTACAGACGCCAAGTTCTGGGTAGGTCGTGGGCAGCGTCCCTCCGCCGAGGGTCTCCGCATACCTGATGAGAACGGAAAAGAGAATCCCCTGCGTCGCTATGATCGAAAGACAATAGTTTTAACGCTGCCCGAAGATCTGACCATCTTCGATATAGGACACTTTGGCGTCTGGTGTGAGGCATTCACCGTTGACTTTGGCCATGTGCGCCTACCGGAGGGTCTCAATGTGCCGCCCTCGCTGAAAATGCTGGGCATCAGTCCTCAGGTAAAGAAGCCGTTAAATCTAATACTAAGCGAGCTGCAGCCCTGATTGCCATAGGCACTTGCCAAGCATTTGATGTGTGCGTGGAATTTATTTAATATAATATTTGTATTTATTTGTATGCAACATATTTATCAAGAGCATTCGAGTTGCTTTTAAATTATTAGACTCTAAGTGTGCATTTTTTTATAAACTATTTAAATCAATTCACGAATTTGATGTATAAAATATATGTGCAGCACATTTTTATATACAATAATCAATTGGCCGTCTTATGTATTTTGTTGACTTGAAAAACTTTTGCTTTGTCTTTTTGAATTGAGCGCCTATACAAAATGAAATGTGTGCAATATTTTCTTTTGGGTACATCCAACAGTTGCCCCAACCCGACCTGCCCTTACCCTACCCAACCCACACAACCAACACACATACACATACAGACATACATATTTTACAAATAAATACAATGTACATGCGCCAATCCCCTGAACCATAATAATTTAACCTTTTTTTTGCTTCGTGCTTTTCAGAAGCCCCTTACCAACCCAACCACAAACATTTTCATTTTGTATATGCTTCATAAAACGATGTAATCAGATAAAAATTGTGATATTTAAAAAAAAAAACGAAAAGCAAAATTTTTGAATACAGCAAAAAACAATAAGACTCTATTTCGGACACTAAATTTTGTTTTGGCAAGCGCTGATTATTTACCCAACTCCGAAAACTAATGCTAATCCTAATCCTTATCCTATACCTAATTCATTTCACACCTGCACACTCATTTCACTATGCTCCAATGCCTATCGACAATTCAAAAGCAAAATAATTCTCTTACAGTCCAAACTCAACTGTGAGGTGCTCTACGATGATCTGGCCTTTGAAGTCCGCTGGGCAGTGGCCGGTGAGAGCATCGTTGTACAACTGGTTGCCAAATTGGGTAAGTCGCTAGCGCAAAGCTATGCGGAAATACTTGTGATTACCTTTATTTCGAACTTGACACTCTCCCAAATGTTAATTCAATCTAATGGCAAAAAAAGAGCTTGCCGCAAAATGACAAGCAAATGCTTAGCGCTTCGTGAACTGCTTAAATCAAGGCATTAACAAAGTGACAGATAAATTAAGTTTGATTTGCAAGCTCGCAATCTTCGAGTCTCTAATATGTTGTTAAACAAATTAGAGCAAATTCTGTAAAAAGTTGCTATTTTGAATGGTCATGCTAATCAACTTTTTATTTATTTTATTTTATTTTGCTAAATGATTTTAAGTACGTCAAAATATATTTATCGTTAAATAATTTCAAGACCTGCAAAATTAAACATTGACTTTCCATTAAATTCAAATCGAATCTATCCCTAACTTGACCAAATTGAACTTTTCCAAACTTAACTATGTTCTATATGAACATAATATTATCAATATCAAACAATTATATGGGAAGGATCTGCCGAAACTTATATATCGACAATTTTTGAGTCTAATCGGAATGCTGAATCAAATTGCTACTATAGAAACAATCATGATTGTAAGCGAGATTTCAAACTGTTCTTTAGTCTCTTTCTTTTTCTTTTTTGTTGCTATGCCTTGAGACATTGTCATTCATAACAAATTGTGTAACCCTATGTTATTAATCTTTTTAATCCACTTGGAAGTCAAAAACCCAAAAATCAGATTTTGCACCAAGCCCTGAATGAAGGTCTTGGCTAGGTTAAGAATAGTTGACTTCATCCGATTAATGATGCTTTGACATTTCACCGAGTACAGTTAATAAAGGAGTATCCACACTCAGCAATAGCACTCATCGAAGTCAAAACAACAAAAATCCAGTTAGCAGCCAAATTGACCGATCAGCGGCAGCATAGTTAGTAGAATAACAAGTTGCAAAATATGACGACTGGTTTATTGCGCAACCAACGCACGGAGCACGGGGGCAATTAATGGCCATGCCGAAGTGGATGCTGCCGTTGCCGTTGGCGCGCATCTGCATTCAGCATTCTGCACACACAATCTTGGAGCATGACCATCTACGAGTGTAATTTTTTTAGTGGCACGCGTTGAATGCTACTGGTCTTGAGTCTTGCGTGTGGCAGTGGTTGCGACGTTGCGACGGGCAGTTTGGAACCGCTAAGAATGCCAGCAGGAATTTTCACCTGGAATCTAGCAACCGGTTGGTTAGGCACTCATTTAAGAGCATGTTGTCCGGCCTCCAGAAATGGGGCGAGCAACTTTCGTTGATTGCGATCCCAATAGCTATGAATTTCTGAGAATGCCACTCCCCTTTTTGATTATCCACAGAACCCAACAATTATATGTCCTTTGGCATCTCACCGAACAAGAACATAAGCCAAATGATTGGAGCCGATGCCGCTGTAGCCTGGGTGGATCCCGAGACAGGTAATGGCTTTGCCCAGGATTATTTCCTGGAGGGCAAGGCTCAGTGTTCAGGTGGTCGTGGCGCGTGCCCGGACGTCAAGATACAACAAAACACCAACTCCATACGACTGCTCAATGCGGCAATGGTAAATGGTTACTCAATCGTCACATATCAGCGCTCGCTGGCCTCCACTGATAGTTTGGATTTGCCCATCTCAGTGAGCGATGCAGAGTCCGTTGTCTGGGCAATCGGACCCTTGAATGACTACAAGGAAGTTTCTTTCCACACCTATTATAATAAGCATTTGCATCAGATAGAGTTTGGTCGTCAGCCCAAATGGAATTGCCCCTTACCAGAAGGAGCCAAGCCGGGCAGCAGCTCAGACGAGCAGGAGGAAGAAGTTACTCAAATTAGCTCTACTGGCGGTGCGGGATATCCGCCTGCAGGTCGTCCCAACATTGAGCCCGATGAAGAGTTTTATGAGAATCGCCCTCAGGCCTTACAACGTACCACACCTGCACACGCTCCACAAAGACACCAGGAGACGGCTGTGTTAACGCAACGTCGTCCCGTTCCTACACCTAAGCCGGTCAACAGCAATGGCGCCTGGGATATTCCGGCTATACAATGCCATGAGCCCGAAGATGGTGTCTTCTATGCTCAAATGGGCCCGACTGGAGGAAAGCATGGTTATCCTGCCATTACCGGTGAGTGTCCCTGAAGACATATTTTCTTCTAATATATACCATTTTATTGCATATTTATCTTTTCATCTTCTTTAATAGGCCACGTGGGCTGGGGCATATCCTGGTACATTAATGGTTTGCTAATTCCCGAGATTCACGTGGTGAGAGGGAAGACTTACACTTTTGTTGTGGAGGGTGGCAACAATCCGGACATACCCGCCAAGTATCACCCATTCTATATTAGTGATGACCCTGTCGGAGGCTATGAGCACAAGCGTGAGGAGGAAAAAAAGGTGAAACATTGAAGGAAATATAATTGAAAATATACTTCATACTATAAATACTTTCACGTGATCAGGCCGTACGCATCTTCGCTGGTGTTCATCGCTCTAGGTCCGGCCAGGTTACGCCTACTGGCGTGGGACGTTTATGCAACTGGACGCCAGATGTGGACGGACCTCCAGCAGATGATTATCAATCTTTCGGTGCGTACCAGCGCACATTGACACTCAAGTGCGATGTCGGCGAGCCGGGAGTGATCAGCTGGAAACCGGATAGGAATACGCCAGACACTGTTTTCTATCATTGCTTCACTCATCGTTATCTGGGGTGGAAGATACACGTGCACGACTCGTGTGATAGCACTGGTGATGGTATTGGCGCCGCCTCAGAGCGGCACGAGTTACGCGAGCCGGCACCCGTCCGGGAAGACTATGCCGCCGAGTCATCTATTCGCCACGAAACCAAGGTCAGCCCCAACGATAATTTTTTATTGAAGCACCAAACCGATTTGATTAAGAATCACAATATGAATGGAACACCGCCTAAACTGAGTTTTGAAATAACGAAATCTTCGGAAATAACCAAACTGATTTCAGATGGCATCCGCGCTGCTGAGGCTCTCGAGGAGAGCCTACTAAGGAACCAATCGATCGTCGCCGCACCACCGACACACTTAAGAGATAACAGCAACAACGGCAACATTAACGACAATATTGGCTCTAGAATACCATCGAAACCATTGCTGGTGCAAGCCAGACCCGAGATTTTGCATGGCGAAACTCATTCATTGAAATCATCCGCCTCCACTTCATCAGTTCATTCGAAACTGCCCATTTTCGCTGCACCGCAATCACCGCCTGTTCTTGTTAACTCTCATTTGCAACAGCGTTTACAATATCCGCATCTGCACCATGCACACTTCCCATTCCATCCCCCGCATCATTATCATTCTCACAGTGCACTGCAACATCACAATCTAACTAGTAATCTTCCAGCGCTGGCGCAAAAAACAATTAGCCTCTCCGAATATCTACGTCCACCGCAAAATGCTCCGCTTTTTCATCCTGTCAAGTTACCCGGACGTCGACCATATCCTGGCCCTATCAAGAAGGTACCTGCCTCCAGGCCGGTATTGCCACAACAGCATCCTCCACCCGGTGGAATACTTCCACAGTCCTCGTTGATTGTTAATCACTATCGAAAGCCTGTGCCCAGTCTGCTAAAACCCTTTCTGAAGGAAAAGCTGTTTCCCATACAGCCGTTAGCAGCTTCGGTATTATTATTAGGTCAGCCTACTGAACTTGGCGGTATTGGACAAAGAAAGACCGATGCCGGAGATCGTGCTAAAATCAAGTCGAAACCCGTTATTCCGCTACCGGTACCATATGTGGACCTGGAACCTCAAGCATCACTTAAAACCACATCCTATTTTCATACAAATACCAAAGCCGAACAAATGCCAGTTCAGACCACCTCAACTACCATGATTACGCCAATTATCAAACGTCCATTGCCAGACGAGCCATCGCCTCAACAAATTGCCAGCATGCGCCCGGCAATTAATCAAGGATTTAAGCCTGATTCCGTTGTCGTTGAGAGTGGCTTCCGTCCCATTGTGCGCAACGATGGTAATGGCGTACAGCTGCCGCCAGAGCTGATAGACCAGGTGGCTCATAGACGCGAAGATCCTGGAACCGAAATCGATGAAGTCATGGAAACAGATACACTTTTCCTTACCGCACAGCAAGGCAGCGACACCCAGAGCTTTGAGCCCATGTTCATACCGTCTCCGTTGGACAGCACCAATGCGACTATGCTAGCATTAAAAACGGTGCAAGAGGTCGAACCAGTTGCGTCCGCATCGTCGCTGAGATTGCCGTCAGCGGCTATAAAACATGCACTGCCAGCGGCGTCTCAACTAAGGAAGCCATCTCTAGAGGAATTATTTTTTGCTGGCGAGGAGGACGAGCCGGAAAGCGAAGCAGAAGAAGCGGAGGAACGGCTTTCGGCAACAATTCAGCCATCTATAATTGAACCGGAACAAAGCTCCTCAGAAACAATAGTCGCACACGGGAATGATCCAAATTATGACGAAGTAGCCAACCTTTTTGACACATCGGAAGAAGAGGTTCATCTGACCCAGGATACCACAGCTGACGACATACCGGTAGAAACTGACGATAAAGAAGCGCAAGCTGCCGAACGTGTTGATACGTACTACTTGCCACCAGATAATCGAAAAATTCCACATGCCAGCATTCCCAGCGGTGCAGTTTACACCTTTGACGGCAAATCTGTGGTGGATAGCACGCTGGTGCTGCCACCGAAGCTGGATGCACGCGATAGTGGACACTCGCGACACACACATTTTGGGCTTACCCCATTAGAAAAGCTAATACGAACCACTCCACAGTTTGGTGCCTATCGCGGTGAGCTCCCAGAGGATTTCCTTTCCACCACTCAACCAGGTGTGCAACCAGTCACGGACTATTCGAATCTGGTGCCTTTAAGTAGCAGCAACGTGACGTCCACATCAGGCACCGCCAGCACTCTTCATTCGCATTCATCGTCATTACTAACATCGTCATTGCGACCCATTTCAACAAAGTTGCACTTGCTCAAGCCCGATATCAACGATAATAGCACGTAGGGAATTGACAGCACAGGCGCGCAATAGTTTAATTCATTGATTAGATAAGCATTTACAACTGCGAGCAGTTACCAATTGAATTTGTACTCATAACCATATACCATAAAAATACCGTATTAGCTATAGGCACCTCTTTTGTGTTTAAATATTATGAAGCTCTTAATTTTAACCAAACTCATGAATTTTTACACAATTAGCTAAGCTACAACATATGTTTAAATGCATTTTAGTCGTTGTCTATGAAATAAACCATATATATTAAAATATACTTTTACATTTTGCTCGCATCTACGCCTAATTAACAAAAGGCCTTATATATACAGCAGTTACTGGGATTGAATTTAAACACAACTATGTTCATATTTGTTTGTAGTCTGCTGATTACTTTTGCTTAATCCACGACAAACGCGTGTTGACGAATTGTCCTTTACACTACCAGATATCATTTACTTAACGTAAATATCCTTTACGTTTTAAGGGATCAGAATTACTGTAAAACAATTGATAACAAAATGCCTTTTTATTTTCTCATCAAATTTGGCATTGCCTTAATATTTGATACGTTATTTATCGAAAATGAACTATGTTAAGTGGTCCGCAGTAACAGCAACATAACTTTAACGACTCTGTTATTAATTGTATACTTTAAGCCGCTCGTGCAGAACTAATACTTATTTTTTCCGGATTTGCCGTTTATCTTCAAAGCTAGCTACTTTTAGAAAAAAAAACTTGTGTCTGTGCTTTTATTTTTTAACTTTTAAAATATTTGATTTGGTAGAAACAAATAATAGTCGTTATACGAAATGTTAGCAGACAAATTTCGCGCTGTTCTAGAGTTTAACAGTGACGGAAAGTATCATGTATATCGAACTAAATGAACGACTGGGGCAATTCATTAGTTCAATTTAATATATCGTTCAAAAGAACTTATTCCGAATGATTCGATTTCCAATTTACACGTGATACACCATGAGCCAATTTACACATTCAATAAAAGTGCCCACCCAATATAAAGCAACAGCCAAAATATTGAAGGCGGCTATCGAAAAACAAAAATCAATAAAATCCCTTATATTTGAGGAAAAGCATGCGGTAAGCAGTTTAAAACAAACCCAGATTTAAAAGCAGCCAATGAGAACTTCTGTATCTTTTTTTAACAGCGCGTACGAAGCTTGCAGGCAGTTCTAAAACATTACAGTGACAACAGAGGAGCTGTTGACAACGCCATCGAAGAGACTGGGTTACTCAAAGATAATCCAAATTTAGACTCGGCATTAGCCAAAGTGCTTGTCACCGAACTGATTTTCGGACGCGGAGAACTTAACGGGGAAAGCAGACCGGTGCAAACAGTGCGCTTGTATAAGGAGCGATTGCAACAGGCAATAAGCGGTGCAGAATACCAGAAGAAAGGCAGGTGCTCTTACATAGACGTATCTGTAGTCCAAACAGTATTAGTGGCAGACATCTGTTAATTGCCAAAAGACAATGACCAAAAAGTCGAAAAGGCCATCTCCACCAGCTGTGGCACAAATAAAGTCGAGCGTGCAGCTAATAAAGTCGGAAGTTACAACTGAGGAAATGAATTCAGCACAGCCTGAAGAGCAATCGGTGGATAAGAGCTTAGAGGTTTTTCTCTGGCTAATGGCCTATAGCGTGCTAATGTTTACGCTGCCTTTCTTAGGCTTTTATGGTGTGCGCACCTGGCTAGATGAATCATTTCCCGAACTGAGCACTTTTCAAGTGAATTGCTACTCTGTGCTAACAGCTGTTCTAGTTGTCAATGCCATTGTTGCTATGTATGTGCTAAAGGCGGTCCGTGAAAAGGATCCACCTGCGTTGGCAAGTGAGGACCAGGAAGATAAGAAGGAACAGTAGTTTAGTTTAAGATCAGCGTAATAAAAACAAGCTGTAACACTTTTAAATGCTTTTACATTTACTCAAATACACAGAGCCCAATCCACGCTATGTACGCATCAATACCAATCTGCTCAGTATTGCCGATGCCCTGGATTATTTATATGGCGAGGAGTGGCGTCGCAAACAGCTGGCAGCAGACGCCACATACGCTGACTTTTTGGTTGCCATACGCACATTGGAAGAGGATGAGTTCCTGATGGACATTCATGTGGAAGGGGTGTTAATATTCCATTCCAAGTGGAGTCACTACTGGGCCTCGCACGACTATGTTCGCAGCAAAAAGTTCATATTGCAAAACAAGGCCACCTGTTTGGCTGCTGAACTACTAGCACCACCGGTTGGGTCAACTGTATTGGATATGTGTGCAGCTCCAGGCATGAAAACTTTGCATCTTTGCAATGTAATGCAGAACCAAGGCCGCATCTATGCCGTAGAACAATCTAAGGAGCGCTACAAGGCCTTATGCGACATCACCAACGAAGCAGGCTGCCAAATAGTCACGCCCATACTGGGCGATGCTCTAACCATGGGTGAGTAACATAAATTAAACTAAGGTGTGTTTTGCTGACAAAGTTTTCAACTTCTACAGATTCTACAAAATGTCCAGACGTCGAGTACGTTTTAGTAGACCCTAGTTGCTCCGGTAATGGAATGCAAAGCCGCATCAGCGTGTGTGATGAACAGAAGGACGACAAGCGTCTATATAAACTGGCTGGGCTGCAAATCAAGATTTTGTCCCATGCCATGAGCGCTTTTCCAAACGTTAAACGCATTGTCTACTGCACATGCTCCCTTTGGAAGGAGGAGAATGAACAAGTGGTTCAGCGCTGCCTCCAGCTAAATCCTTCATTCAAGCTGCTCAGTTGCAAGAAGGCACTGCGAAATAAGTGGCAAAACGTGGGCGACAAGGAGTACGTCAAAATCGGAAAAAATTGTTTATACTGTCTGCCGGATCATGATCTTACCGATGGCATCTTTTTGGCGATGTTCGAAAAACGCCAAGAAAACGACTGCGAGTAGTCTTAGCGAAAATAGACGGATATAGGTTAACAAATTACTTTATTTGACATTTTGCCATTAAATTCAACTTCAATTTACATGAACATTTTTTGGTAAATGCGAACATTTTAAATACTTTCTTTGCATTTTTATAAAAAAAAATAATAATAATATTCTTATGTGTAGACAAATATCATGATTGATACGTTTTGAAGATAAGATCATTAAATAAATATATAAAAAAGATATATATTGGTAATGAGCGATAATACGAAAATAAAAAAAAAATTAAACATGTAATAAAAATTGGGTTGTTAATCAACTTTTTTATGTCAAAATTTAAAAACTTGTACTGTGAAAAGGTTGCCATCGAAAATATTCATTGCTCTTTTCTTTAGCAAATATTCAAATCATACTCTATCACGATTGGCAGTTCGAAATTCAAAGTCTTTCCATCCAAAATTAATAGATTAATATATATATATAGATATATCAGACCAGTATTGCAGATTATCTGACCGCTAAGATTCTTAGCGTTACCAAAAATGCTGGCACAAATCAACAAGCCAGTTTTGAGACATTTTTATCGGCCCCTACGATTTTACAATTCCGATATTGTAAGTATATTCTCGTAATTGAATTTATGAAACAAACATAATTTTGAAGTTTGAACGTGTGTTTAGTTACTGATTACACTAAACTGACCGAAGTGTTAAAAAAAAATATAATAAAATCGAACGCGCTAGGCGCATAATAATTGCAGCTGATGTTTGACCGATTTAGTGTGGAACGCGCATATATATAACTCTTATATAAACGCTTAAAAAGCTGCCAGAGCTTCTTCCACTTTTAAACTTTCATCTGCTGCTTGTAGTAGTTGCTTTTGGCCAATCGAAATGACTCTGCCTTAATGGCATCCTCCATTGTAACAATGGGTTTCTTGGGACAGTATTTAATGGTGTGCGCCGAGTCGCCGGATGCTCCGCATATGGGGCACACATAAGTGCGAAGCTTGGGACACAACACACGTCCGTACGCGTCGCGCACTGTATGGCTGTTGACCACAGCTTCGGGTTCGTTATTGTTTTCACAGAAAACACAATGCCTAGGCACCTTTTGAGCGCAGAAAACGGAGAGTGATTATATATTTTCGCACGCAAGGAAGTTCATCTACTTACCAGTTCCTTGAACTTGCCACTGTTGTACCGCTTATTCAGTTTGTTATTGCTAATGTTCAAATTACCTACATTTCGCATGTGATCTGGTTGCACGGCCAAGCCCATAGTGTTAATATTGTTTTGGCTAGCAGCTGGCATTGTAAGTCCCATGTTGGCTGCCACATTAGGCATGTAGGACATGGACATGGTTCGCCAAACATGGTTAAGGTGCTCCCGATAGTTGCTGAGATTGATCCAATGGGCAGCAGCCAGTGAAGACGGGAAGGTGGCACCTTCAGCCGTTGCATTCCCCCCAGTACCTGCCGATGAAATAGGGACTTGGCTTGGCAACTGTGACGACTGCGGCGCGACGGAACTATGATTATTGTATTGAAAACAATTGAATTCATCGCTCACATAGCCATTAGCTGCAAAATCCTGCATCGCGTCCTGTGTAGATCCACTGCCTGTGTCTGTTTATGCGGATTTGAATTAATTAGAGCTATTTTACGACTGAATATTAACTTTTTTAACTGATCAGCAGTGAAACATTCGTCCCGGTTTGGAGAGACTTTACTGACTTTTAAGAAAAGCAAAGTTCAATACCCGAAAAATTTCAAATTCTTTTGATCCACTGGTGACTATACCGTTGCCTCTCTATCTATCCCACTTGCACTCACCTGCGTTGCAGGCCGTGAGAAATGCAAACATTTTTAGTGAATGCGCTATCTCGTCCTCTTGGTGATGATTCGCAGCAGCCGCTGAGGCGGCCAATGCCAACTGATGTTGCGCAAAAGCAAGTTGTTGCTGCTGCTGCTGCAGCAGCAGGTGATATTGATACTGGCGCTGCATCAGTAGTGTACTGGCCGCAGTAGAGGCATTCATGTTTACGTGGTTACTGTCCGTCAGCAGGGGAAATTGAGTCGACGACATAGTAGGTTCCGGTGTCAGTGGCGTCGTTGGGGGACTCAAAGTTGCCGATGAGACAGGTGGCGAAATGTTGTGAGAGGCCGTGTCCAAGTACATGTTGAGTCGGCCAAGATCGTGGAAGGACGACATATTGTCCTAAATAGAAATTAATTTATTTTTTTCTTTTTTGTCAAAAGTAACCTTTGACTTTGTAATGGCGTCCACTTACAATTGGTGTATTGCCTTCCAGGCTGCTGCCACTGCGAAACATGACAATGCCAATGACTATGTGTATTGATTGGAATGTAGGATGTACTAAGTGCCGTTATTGCACTTTTCGTTTTGCACCAATTGTTACACGCATAAAACTAAGTTAAAAGTTTTCAAAAATTTGAAGTATTTGTGTGCGCTACTTCTTTGTATTTAATTTTGATTTATGGTGAAACTTAAATTCACTGTGCAAAAATGGCGCGCAAGTACAAAAGAATTTGTCAAATCCCAAAGATCGGCAACTGGCGCCAACTACAAATGCAAATAAGTATGTACATATGTAAGTGAAATGAGAATACGTACTGCGTTCCCATAGCTCAGTTCCTGGAAGTCGGCTAAGCTTGGCCGAGTAACGGTTTGAATCGGCGCAATTCGCTCTCGCAAAGAGTTGCCACATGGTCTCAGAAGCGAATGCCTTAAAGGGAATTGACAAAATAGTAAAACAAAGCAAGCAAGACATACAAATCAATTCATAAAATACATATCATCTGTAGTTTTGGCGACAATCGACCGCCATTACTCCATAATTACGATTGCTGCACAAACACCACCCCATTGATTCCAACAATTTAAAATACGCTGCCGACCACATTCATTGCACAGCACTATACTCGTCGTTTGCCAACACTGCACGCTCAAAACAGCTGATACTCAAATTCTGATACGTGCGTGTTTCAGAGTGCGAATTACATAAATTTGGTACGATTGACGTGAGTTCGCTAAGCATTTATCACATAGCGAGTGTCCGGCTGAAAATCATCGTAGCAGCAGCACCTGTCACCATGGTAGGTTCATACATTTTAGGTAGGCGCAGCTATTGGAACTAATTTTCCCATGTGACTGATTCGAGGTTAAACTTGGCCCATGCACATCCCAGTTAATCTATATGCCCACTTCTTATTCTTTGCAGTACAAACTGGCCGCCTTAGCGCGCGAGCGCGCCTGCTTCATTACGTATCAGTTAGCGAGTTACAACCTGCAACAACAGCCGGTAAGTATTAATGTAATTCACATCTAGACACATATACAAATGCATATGTTTTCTATTTGTGCGCGGAATAGCAACGTTTATATAGCTCTCCCGGACGTCGGCCCGGCTTTTTTTCACAATTCATTGACAATGTGAGGAGTGAAATGGATAAGAACAAGGAGATGAAAGATAGCATAAAAAAGTTTCGCGAAGAGGCACAAAAACTTGAGCAATCGGATGCCTTGAAGTCGGCGCGGCAAAAGTTCAACATTGTTGAATCGGAAGCGCAAAAGTCGTCTAACATATTGAAGGAGCAGTTGGGCGCCATCAAGGAAAAAGTGGGTGATGTTATTGACGATGCTTCCAAATCGGACTTGGCCAAAAAGGTATCGGAGGAGCTTTCCAAAACGGCAAAGGGCGTTAGTGATACCATAACGGACACTAGCGGTAAACTTGGCCAGTCTGGAGCTTTCCAAGCAATCTCTGATACAACGAAACTAATTAAAAAAGAAATGAATGAAACGAGTATAGAAAATCGCGTATATTGCTCGCCGGTTAGGCTGCGAAAACGTGTCCAAGTGGATATGTCCGATAGCACGCGTGTTGTGGAGGCAAACACCGAGGCATTAGGTAAGCGGTATGTTCCTATCGGCTTAAGTAATAAATAACCATTTATTTTTAGGATTGGAGCTACATAAAGACTCCAAATTCTATCAGTCTTGGGAGAATTTCAAAAATAACAACACGTATGTGAACAAAGTTCTCGACTGGAAAGTGAAGTACGATGAATCGGAAAATCCTGTAATTAGAGCCTCCCGTCTGCTCACCGACAAGGTGTCCGATGTAATGGGCGGTCTATTTTCTAAAACAGAGCTGTCCGAGACGATGACTGAACTGGTCAAAATCGATCCCAACTTTGATCAGAAGGAGTTTTTATATGACTGCGAAAAGGACATTATACCGAATGTCTTAGAGGCCATAGTGCGAGGCGATTTGGAAATCCTAAAGGATTGGTGCTTTGAAAGTACCTACAACATAATTGCCACACCCATAATGCAAGCGAAAAAGTCTGGCCTGTATCTGGACTCCAAGATCCTGGACATTGAGAACATCGAGCTCGCCATGGGAAAAGTCATGGAGCAGGGGCCAGTTCTAATAATCACGTTCCAGGCGCAGCAGATCATGTGCGTACGCGACCAGAAGGCTCAAGTTGTCGAAGGCAATCCCGACAAGGTGATGCGTGTTCATTACGTGTGGGTGCTTTGCCGCGATCGCAACGAACTCAATCCCAAGGCTGCCTGGCGGTTGATGGAGCTATCAGCCAATAGCCAGGAGCAATTTGTTTAAACGTGCTGCACACAATTTACCTCTAAGCAGTTTAAGTTTCTCATCAATCCCAGACACTACACACCAACGACAGACACATCTACAAACCCGTAGCAGTTGGTTTTAAATGTGTGCAAAAGTTTCGCTCTTATATTACTTCGATGGTTTTGTCAGCTGCTAGTCGCGTGCGTTTGTTAAGCGAGCCGGAGCTGCTGGTCAGTTTCCTATTTTATCTGTGATGCAGTAGATTACTGGCTCGACTGTGCATCTAGCGCGTGGCTCTGGCGGACCACGGTCATCGTCGGCTACGCTTCACCCTGACCGCCCATTCATGGCGCTATATATGTTGTATATTTTAACCTATCTTGTAAGCTGTATATGAACCTGTGAGCTTGGGTGCTCAGAGTGCGGCGTGGCCGGCGGCGCTCGGAGGCCGCAAGTGTTTGGCCCAAATTTAAATGAAGCT